TACATCTCATACTACTGATTTACTAGTAATCACGAAAACAATAGTTAATTCGAAAAATAAAGTAAATTCTAAATATGAAATGTATTCACCCAATTTCGTTTAAAGATAAGAATAATTTTTGGGAAAGCAAGGCTATGTGAAATTCAATGGAAACGTCAGCTCAACTCATATCATTGTGGGAAAATTATACTTTGGGAAAGCAAGGCTATGTGAAATTCAATGGAAACGTCAGCTCAACTCATATCATTGTGGGAAAATTCGATGGGAAAGCAAGGCTATGTGAAATTCAATGGAAACGTCAGCTCAACTCATATCATTGTGGGAAAATTCTAATAGGAAAGCAAGGCTATGTGAAATTCAATGGAAACGTCAGCTCAACTCATATCATTGTGGGAAAATTCTACCACGGAAAGCAAGGCTATGTGAAATTGAATGGAAACGTCAGCTCAACTCATATCATTGTGGGAAAATTCTACTCTCAGTCCTTCATCACCTTAACCGAAATAGGGTTAATACATCTCATTACACTAATAATTTATCCACTCTATCTCCATAACGTCGTTAGCCAACTCACAGTCAAGACGAATAATGGCTTCATTCGAAAGTTCCCACATGACGCACAAATGATGGTACTGACTTTGCGGATATGCGAAAAGAAAGGAAAGTTCTATTTAGATACATTTCTGATGGGATGTGAATTTCCAGAAACATAAACGCTGTCAAGATTTTCGGTTGTAGAGAATGACAGTCAGTCTGCCGGCGACCAGTTGAAGAGAAGACCTTAAAAGTCATTGTGTCATGCGTCCAGACTGGAATGAAGTTTTCGCCCGGTACCATTGTCTCATCAGCAGCTATGGCGATATTCAAGGCATGAATGGGCTGGTTTAAAGGCAGATAGAGGTTGCTTGACCTTGTTTTCGCAACTTGGTCATATTGGTAATGAGAATTAGAGAAACACACCTAGTCCGGAGTGCATTGTATGCATGATCATTTCCAGAGTAGGAGCGTGGACGTGGTACATTCTCAGCCGTTTCGCCGGCATCGTCAGTGCGTTTCGCCAGTCTTAGAGACAAGTCTCTTTGACGAGTTGTTGTGTGACTCAGTGAAGATGCCGACGAAACGTCTGGGAATGTACCACATCCACAGTCCTACTCTGGAAATGTTGATGCATACAATGGACTCCGGACAAGGTGCGTTCCTCTCAGTTTTCCTACCAATGTGACCATGTTGCAAAAACAAGGTCAAACAACTTCTACCCAACGAAAGGGGACTGCGACCACACAAAAGGCCACACCATCTTGGTCTTCATAGCTTCGACTGGAGGCAGATAGTTTAGGCAGCAGGCACAACGCGACCAGGACGAAGTTGAGTATCCCGCGGAGATCGGTTAGGGGCACAAAGACAGAACTTCTCCTCGAACTAGGTTGGATACAATTGGAACAAGACCCTGTGACAGCATTTAAAAGTGGTCTTACAACACGCACAGCCATGACAACAGCAGATAGAAGGACTCATCAAAACTCGATTCGCGCCTCGTCTGCGCACAAAATCCTACCATTTCGAGGCCGACCAGTAGTGCATATGCCGTCTGAACGCAGCGCAGCGCCGGCGACGCATAGACTACAAGCTTCTGACTTGACGCCAGGTCTGTGACGGTCGGTTTGGATCCGAT